GAGCAGGCGCCGCTACGGGCGGGCGGTGGGGACACAGACAGCAGCCGGCGCGCTTCGCGGTGGCGCTCCAGCGGGGCTGGTGTTTTGGGATCGAGAACTGACACATCCTGACCCTGGTGATGGCTGTAGGCTTTGCTTAAGATGCCCATACTGGAGCTTAAATTTAAAAAAAATAATTTGCTAATATTTCTGAATGCATAGGTCTGGTGACGTTTTAAAAAAACCCAAAACAACCAGAGATAAGCCACTTTTTTTTTTTTTTTTTTTCCAATCATCAGAGGAAAAGCTCATCCAGAAGGGCAAATTTATTGGAATATTGATAATCCGTACCGCCTGCTCAATCCGAGCTGCGCAGACACATCAGTGTCATAGAATCATAGACTCACGGGATGGTTTGGGCTGGAAAGGACCTTAGAGATCATCCAGTTCCACCCCCACGGGCAGGGACACCTCCACTTGCCCACTAATTTGATAAGGCTTTGGTCATACTAGAGAGATCCCTAAAGAGATCCCCATAAAATTCTTAGGTGCGAGCTGCTGGGAACGTTTTGAAAATGCTACCTGGGCCAGCCTTGGTCTGCCCATTGAAATACTCCTTACCTACACTAAAAATGTTTAAAAATGGAACTGCCTTTTTAAAATCTGTAGGTGATATGCTCAATGATCAATTTGACTTGTTTCCTGTCGCACTGAATGTGAGTGAAAGGTATGCCAACATCTCTGTGCGATGGCTCCTGCATTGCTAACGGTACCTTTATCTCCAGTTCCAGGGACAGCCTTTCTATCCAGGGAACAGACCCGGACTGATGGGAAAAGCATGTTCTGTGTGGAGGATAACATCATAACTAAACGTTGTGTTTTAATACTATTTCTAAAAATCAGGAGAAATCTGACATCCAGACCTAGCTCCTGCCAGACTGAGAAGTCTCACAGTTATCCTGGAGAAGAAGGATGGGGAGGATGGTTTCTAGTGGCATCTTTCTTTCCTGTATTTATTACATTTGTACCATTTGCTCCCCAAAGTATCTTGATCAGATGCAAACATGGCACAAATTTTTCCATTTGTTACATGGCACCTTTTCTCCAGGCTCTACCCAGTTCACAAGGAGCATGGCGGAAGCAACGCAGAGAGATGAGTGGTGCTTGCAAGGCTGTAGTAAATTCCTAGCAAACAGGGGATACAGGACCAGGGCTTCTGACTGCCAGTTGCCATGAATCGCTGTGACCAAGCCTCCTTGGGTAAAACTGACTGCACTTGATCAACCAGATTCAGACAATGCTGCAGCTAGTACTTTCTTAACCTATAGATTAATTAATTTGTATATTAACTATTTTTTTTTTTTACAACAAAATGTTTGCTTTTACTGTAACATTTTCCTTCTGCTCGCTTTGACAGATCTACAAGAAGAAAGAATAACAACTCTTTAGGGGATGAATGAAATTTATGGAACAGGGAACCTTAAAAAACATATTCTTGCCCTCCCATTTTAATTCTTTTTACAGCATTGATTACAAAACTATATGAAAATGTACAGAATTTGAAGTTGTCTCCACTGCCTATTTAAATACATGTTACATTTTAGTGACTATAATGTTCTACCTTTTCTTGGAAACTTGTAAAAGAATCAAGACTGTTTAAAAAAAAAAAAAAGACAAAAATCCAAATTCAGTCTTGTTTTGCCTAAACAGTTAGAAAACTTGTAAGGAAATACTCCTCAGATGTGAACACTAAACTCGCTTGTGACTCGGGATGCTCCATAAACAGCACATGCATTGCTGTTGTATTTCAGCAGATGCAGATAATCTCCCTTTTTTGTTACACTGTGTCAAAGCGTCATGCCAAGATTTTTCACTTTGTGCAGGACTTCCCTGCTTGCTCTTTTAAAGGAGAAATCAAGAACCCATGCTTGTGCTATATTTAGTTATGACCTATGTTTAATCGAGAATGAGAGAAAAAGAGTAAGGAGTTAACACTAAGTAGCTAGAAAACTTGAGGGATTTTTAGTCAGGCTGTTCAAAACCAGTTTTGTTTTCCCCTTTTCTTTCCAATATCTTATTTTTAATGAGAACTTTACCTTCCGAAAAAAAGTCACATCTGAAAAAATTCAAGTATTCCACCCTCTTCAATTAGCATCTTGCTCATAAGAAAATTTGTTATGAGCTTTACAGCAGATTACCTTCCCTGGTTTTGCTGAAGGAATGACATTTCTGAAGAAAAAAAAACACCCTTCAAACTTGAGAAAAATGTAACAGTCACGAGGAGAGAAACACCCACTTGGAATACTAAAAGAACGTTTGCAGACCATATTTAGAGCAGGTTCATCTATATGCTCCAGGAAAGAATACCATCCTTCTCCATACTACCGTGTATTTCAGAGTGTGCGACTATTTCATCTGTTAAATGCCAAGCAGCATTTTTCCACCAGTATAAACATATCCATTGTTTCCTTCTTTGAAAATGGCAATCGCAATAGATAAACCAATGGAATGGAGCAGCCTTTTAAACCGCTGGGACGTCTGCCTGCCGTAGGACAGAGTCACGGCGTTAGCCCTGTGTGCTGGGGTACTGCCCGCAATCCCAGCAGCCCCACACAGCTCAGCGTCCCTCCATTCACCTGCTGCTCAGTGGCCGCAGAAGGAGCCGGAGGGCAGGCACAACCCATGTGGTTATGATAAGCAGCTTTGCAGAGACCATCTCTTTGCTCTGACATCGCTGTTCTGATCTGTGATAAATGCGTTAGAGATCCTTTTTCCTCTTAACGAAAAGATCACCTGCGAGCTCAGGCTCGTTTGTGAAGGGGAAGGCCTGAGTACCTGCTAAAGCCTTTGGAACAATTTTCTTCTGTTAAGAAGACACAGGAGTACCAATGTGTACTTTGATAGTTTGTTTTCATTAGTATCATTACAATACATTCGGGACAGTTACAAAATCCAGGGAATCACGTTTTCTCCGTAAATTTCTGTTGCAAACTTCAAACATTTTCATGCCTTTCCATTACTTCTGCACACTTTTCCTATCATCTTAGTAAGGACATCCAGTACAGCAAACCTTTTTCATTTTGTTTTAGCAGCTTTTAGTTCTGCTTTGTGCCTCAGGCTTCGATGTCCACCTTGAACGCTGGTCTAGCTGCTTCGTTAAAAGCCTGCAGCAGCTCTGTCATGTTCCACCAATTCAATAGAGGACATTTCCAGAGGGACAGGCTAGAAAAGGTGTCTATGCAAAATGATTTCTGGGTCACTTACAGCAATAGCATTTAGCATATTGCTAAAGTCAAATCCTGTTCTAGATCAGAAGGAATTCCAATGAAGTTAGTCAAGTATTTAAACTTTCAGTTTAGGAGGAGAATTGGGCTCCACATAAACTGATAGCATTGGTCAAAGATAGCAGTTTTCTCAAACAAAAAATACTGCCCTTAGTACAAGCCACCTGGCATTCTCAAATACAAGAGACATTCTGTTAACATGTAAAAACATCAGCTACGGAACCTAAGAACATTTTCAACCCACTTTCAATAAATTTTAAGTACATTGTACTTAGCTGCTTCAAAACACCTCTTTGCCTCATCAGGTGTGGCTGCAGGGAGCTTCCACGGCCAGGCTGCTGGTGCTACATGATCTGGCATGCAGGAGCTGAACGGTATGTTTACTCATTCCTAGGAACTCAGTCCAGCAACATTCTAGTCCAGAAAAATGTATACCCCTACCTCTTCCGCCCCGGGAAAAGTGATATGGCTCTGACCATAGGAACATCCTGCAAACTAGCAAAGCATTTAAATAGTTGGCAAAAGTGTTGAAAGGCACATAACTTGTCCTTAGCAATATTTTCCGTGTTCCACTTGCAGTGCTCATTGAGGGATCACTGTTGGGACCTAGCTTGAAATAAAAAAAAATCATAAGAAAATGGAAGCCTCTCAGGAAAAGAAATCAGATTGCCGCCTTTTTTTTTTTTTTTTTTTTAGCTTCAAGATTTTGCTATTGCATGTTTTCCTCTGTCTTTCCAGCAGAAATTAAGGAAGCTATGGATGCATGTTGACCATACATATGGACTTACTACTACGGGAATACCAAATGGTAGAGCCGCTGTAAACTGTTGCAAATACTAAAAGCAATGCTTATAATGGTCTGTACAGCATTTGCAAATACTTAGTTTGAAAAGAGATTAGTGTAGTTCTTGGGTTTTCTCAGCATTGCTTAGAAACACTAAAAAACTACAACAGCTAACTGCTACTCTACATGAGATCAACATACCCCAACAGATATTTAGGAATATATACCATTATATTTAAAAATACCAAGTTCCTATCTAAGCTGGTAAACCTAGAAGATTTTACATAGAGTTAGAGATAAAATATTAAAAATTCTTGTTTCAACTCCACACACTTGACATCTGAATAGGAGTGATGTAATCATACTATTTATTCCATCAGTGAGACAAAATGTTGTATGGAACTAAATTTCTGAGATTTTAAATAGAAAGTCATTTAACTCGTATATACACAAAGTGTTCTTTCCACAGATATTTACATGGCAAATACGTTAGAGGAGAACCACTATGACTAAGTCTCTACAAGTATAGCATCCTTTCTGAGCTATTCTCTCTGCTGAAAGAATTCACAGCAGCTTTGAAGTAAAATCTAGACAATTAAAGTTACCTATATTTCACAGTAGGTAAAGAAGCCATTAAATGATATTTCAGCATAAGGTTTCTGGAAACAGCTACACAGTAGAGTTCTACATCCACCTCTCTTTTCCAGCATTCATGGTGAAACTAAATCTCTTCTTAATTCACAAGAGAGATAACGGTATACGTAAAGATGTATGTGTATAATCGTAGTTCATCCCTCTCGATAGAGGCTGGTCAGCCGTTCTAGTTCTTTGCAGTTTTCCATGGACATGGAGTCTGCTTTCTTTTTGAGACGGTCATCTCGATATACTTTTGCTGCATAAAGTAGTTCTGTTTCTTTAAGGAAAAAAAAAAGAGAAAATAGTTTTCAGGTTAAAAACTGAATACTTTGCACATGACACATTCCTTCTCAGAGCTGTCCAAAATAGCTCAGATTTAATCTTCGCCCTTTTTTCCTTCTATCTATTCTAACTGACCACAGACACAACAGCACTGCTACAGCTTTCCTTTGCTGGATCTTCGCAAACATTTCATCTTTTTGAGCAGGAAAAGTGGTAACAGCCTTCCAGCACCCTCATACCTCATAAAAAACAAACAAACAAACAAAAAATCCCCTGCTACTTTTGTCAGACCTATTAAACAATACAAATATAGGCCACACTCTATGGTCCTTCATCTTGCCTGCATCCCAAAATCCATTCTGAATGTTAAGCCCATTACCTCAACTGATACTGCTTCAGACGGCCAGTGTTCAGAGGTATGACTAAAGAGCTCTCTGTATAGTATGGGTGTTCAATAGCTTGAGACGGGTGAGTATTTTAATTCTACAAAATCTTTTTCAGCCCTTCAACTCAAAATAGATTAGCAAGGCATTCTTAAATGTCAATCAATGCTGGAAAGATTTTAACTGTCAAAGAGATCCAACACACAACAGGTATTTTAAATCTTTAAAACCATAAAATCAGCTGTTTCTATAAACAAAGAAAATCTATTAAGGGCCACTTTCTCAAAATCAGTTTGGGTATTTTTCACGACCTGAATAGCAAAGAACATGACAATCACCACCTTCAGGTTATTTATCTTCCATATACTAGGGTCATATGTTTCTGTAGTCATCACCTTTTTCCCAGTAAACAGGTACATACGGGGTCATAGGCCTCTTTGCATTGTCCAGAACTCTGTGCATGCTTAAAAAAGCGTGTCAAGAATAAATGCTGAAAAATGGGAAAGGTATCCTTTCTCCTAATGTGAAAACTGCACGTCAACTAAACCTTTTCAAAGACATTTAAGGCAGTAAATGTATTACAGGAGACACAAATATAATGTACCAGTAAATCTAAGTGTAATGACTAGGTCAATAAAAGCAAACTATCCTTCCAGATCTACACTCTGCTGAGAAAAATGTACAGACAATATGTCCTCTTTTTATTGTCTTGTCTTTAATTTTCATCTTGTCTTTAATTTTTTGTTAACAACCATGTATCATTTTTGTAAGCTATTTTATTATAAGAATACCAATCATTCATCTGGCATACACTTGCAGATGAAAAGTTAGGTGTTTATTTCATGGAGAGTGAACATATTCAAACATTTCAAGATGATCAAAGGACAACCTAGTTGGGAAAATACAAGAGGTTTTTATATTTGCTTATGAATTATACCCAAAAATCCTCTGACGCTTTCCTCTATTTGAAAAATCTGGGAAAAATTATTCTGATCAAATCTAGCACTCTGGGCAATGTTTCTCTTGCATACAGGTGACCCATCAGCACAGTTTTCTGCCCACAGTTCTCTCCTGTGGGCAGTTTGTAAGACTGTAGTGATTTACTTGTGTGTAAGCAATGTGTACTCACGAGTAAGGAGCGTAATGCCGGCAGGGAGCATTGGGTCTGCCATGCGTGGGCAGCGCAGTTTGTGTTTGTATACGTACAATCCAGCTGTAATGTATGTGTGCCATCCTGTTCAGGCATTTGCGGTGCCAGGCTGTCTGGTACAGCTGGGAGAAACTAAGGGGCCATCTCAGCTGAAAGGCTTGGCACCACTGAACTGGAGAAAGTACAGATGTGTAGGAACACACAATTTCACTCAGAGAAAAGCATCCTGTTTGCTTATGGTCAGTTTACTGACAGTTCATGAAGCAATTATTTCTCCGGTAAGATATTACTGAAGAGCTGTAATTTGCCATTTCAGCAGTGCTATTTCTCACAGAGCACGAAAGGCTCAGGCAATGGTCACAGATAATAGAATAACAGGTTAAAATTGCTGAGGATTTGAAGATGGCTGATGCTATTCAGTATTAAAGCTTTAACACTGAATTCTAGGCTCCTGCAAGAAAATAGCTCCTTGTATAATATTAGATTGGAAAAAATAGATGGTGAACAAAAAAAACCCCTGGTTTTAAGGTCTGATATAGCCAAGGTACCATGTCCAGGGAGAAAAAAATATTCAGCACTGGCAAAACATTAAGCACTGATTTACAGCTTATGATGTTTTAGATGACATGCTGTGTGTCCTTGATTGCCTGGAAAAGCAGTGTTTGTATGTACCATGGTCCAAGGCAGACTATTTTTTCCTTCTCCAGAAACACCTATGCAAGCTTTTGTTTTGTTTATTTATTTATATAAAAGCACCTAGGGAAATGAGATATTGCCACGATAAAATAATGTGGAAGAGATTAGAATTTTTAGCTTTCATCCTTAACTTAGAGCAAGTTCTTTCTCCTTATTGATTCACTATACACTTTCATTTTCTGGTCATGGATAATAAGAGTAGCAGGTTAAAATTACTGATGATTTGCAGATGGTTGTTAGGTCACTGAGTAAAACACAGAAATGAAGTGAACCTGTCTGGAACACTTTTAGAAGTGAGAAACAGTAGGGAACCTTACACTTGCATTCTCATTCATATATTTTAATAATACAAGCAATTCAGTCTTGCCTGAGACAATCTTTTTATAGCAATGCATGCTTTCATGAAATTACACATATCGCCAAACTTACTTTGTTGCCTCTCCTTCCAACAGTTATTACGAATGTTGGATATATAATCCTCTTCCACACTCTTTTCCACTTTCTGTAATGACACTCCTTTGTATTCATTTCTAAAGTCCTTATTGACATAATAAACAACACCCAAGTTTTCTGTCTGCATTTTTATGGTCTGCCCTGTACTTCTGCAAAAAAGGAGGGCGGGGGGATAGAGAGAAAGACTAGGTATTAATTTGATTTTATTTTTACACCACAAATACACTTTTAAAAAATATTGCTATCACAGAAGAACAACACATCACGGAATTTGCCATTTCAAGACAAGCAATGAAATGAATGGCTATATAATCTGCCAGAGAAAAACAATTTACTACATTTACCTGCACATTAAACTCCTGCTGGTTAAACCCTTGGTCTTGAAAAAAACAAAACACTTTAGTAAGATGCTTGTTTCATATCTCTTTAGCCAAAAATAAGCTTTGGTAATGTAAAATTATATTCAAACTCAACAGGAAGGAAAACAGGTCACTATTAAGTAGCAACCCAGGACAGGCATCTCCATTCTAAAGTGTTTTCTGCCAGCCCTGACAAGTCCATTTTCCTGTTGGCATTCTGCAGATTAAAAAGCAAAGATTGTGCACAAACCTTTCAACAGAGAAGTGTTTATAAGCATCGCAACAACTTAGTTGTAGAATGGAAAAGCATTATACTCCAGAAATAAAGAACACTGAAAGATAAGAGAGGAGAAAAGACGCCTTTCTGTTGTGGGGCTGAGAGTTCTGCAAGGAACTGAGGACCTTTAAAAGAGTTCTGGCGAGTAGGCTAAGTCTACTCGGTAGTTGCATGCTTGATTAAAGTTAGTTATTTCTCTCAAGGAAAAAATATTTATATCTCCTACTGTACAAAACAAGTAAGTTTCATTACCAGAATTCTTTGCAAGAAAATGGAGATAAACTATTACAATCACCTAGAATGAAGCAAAGAACAATTTCCCCAGCCCTCATCTAGTTCAAAACACAAAGATGAGAAAGTTGGTTTCAAGCACTTCACCTCCTACAAGCACAGATGACCCCTAAAAGAAGAATGAGCCTTAGCAGGTTTCAGAATTTGATTAAGTATGTTGGAGATGCAAATACCTCTGCAACATGCTGCATTGCATGGACCCACTGTCTTGTATTAGAAGATCTCCTAAACTCCCAGTATTGCTGACCTCTCTTCTCCATTACATTCTCACAGCATGTTCTTAGTACATAGCTTTCAAGATTTGTTTTGCTTAATTTCTGCTTCCTCTACTTTCCCTCCCTTTCCTCATTGTGGGAAATCAAGGACCAAATAATGAAAGGCTCTCTAAAATGCTTCTAAGTGGGAGAGGGTGATTATAGTATCCTCTCTTCTGTTTTAAACTAATGTAATCAAACATTACTTACGATCTTGGGTATAAGGCGTAAGGAGGGTGAGATACCATCAACTGGCTCAACAAGGAGACAAGGATCAACACGATAATAGGCATCAGCTGAATGAACATAGAGAAACCCCCCTAAGGAACAAAACAGATTCAGGTATTTCATAAACAGCATCAAGTAAACAGGTGCATTTGGCAAGATTTAACGCTAAATGTGACTTTCTGCTTTAAGCATCAAAAGCTGCTAGGAAAACTAGAACTACAAACCTGCAAATCCTGTGATGTTATCTGAACTTTCCAATGCATACACAATACTCATAGGGTGTTCAGGCTGCAAGGGTTCACGGGTTAGTGGGTGGCCACAAGCAATTACCAAATGAATAGCTGGATTCAGTTACGTTGTACACCATGATTTGGTCTCATCTATACAGTGATATGTAATTATACAGGACTATATATATTTCATCTATATGAATATTGAGCCTTAAGGAGAATTCTTACCTCAGCCCGAATAATTTTTTAAATGCAGGCAAGGATTAGTGACCACACCTAGTGGCATATTTAGGCTAATACTACCAGTCTCTAGTGAGATAGTGACTGACATACAACAATAGATTTACAAACCCAGGCTATTATCTTTGCACGTCTATTTACCAGTCAGTAAGACTACCACCTGCCAGTTTTAAAATATGCAACTGGCAAGTACAAATCTTCCTCTACAGTACAGGGCTCCTGTACAATCATATCACTGGAAGTGACTACCAGCAAATTTCACATTCCACAGTTTGAAGTCAACAGTGCTTAAACATACATCACCCCTCTCTTCCTCCCTCTCGTGTCCACTCTGACGGTGCTGATTAGGATGACTGTAGCCAGCACGACCATTAGAAAATGAATGTACGCTACCTAAGGAAAGAAATATCCACAACTGAATCATGTAAAAGAAAACAATTTAGAGGTCAGTACAGAAGAAACAACGTGAAGTAGTTAACATTACTGCACAACAACACACAAAATAACTCAACTTCAAGATATCTTACAATTTCAAAGTTGTTTAAAATAAATATTTTAAGCTCTAAGACAACTGATTTGTTATTTCATGTAGCACAGAATCACCATAGTAACCCTGAAGGACTGAACTCACATTTTTGGGATTTAGAAGCACTTAGGGGAAAAATAAACTGTGACACAGATCAAGGAGTTGGAGGCAGGTTAGAGCAACCTTACTGTTTTATAATGTCACAAACTCTAATGCCACTCTGGGCAGTACCACTGTATTCTGATGACTGTAGTGATGTATACAAATACCTGTTGGAAAGGCCCCTCCAAAAAACATGTTGAATAGATCCTCCGGAGTAATATCTGCCTCACAACCTCTATGGAAGTTGAATCTACTGTTGCTAGGGTGATTGCATGTTTGCTCTTCGCTGCCTGTAAGGTCATACTGCTTTCGTTTTTCTGGATTACTCAGCACAGCATATGCATTTCCGATTTCTGAAGCAAGGAATAAAAGACAACTCCCATAAGTGAAAGATAAGAGCTATTCCAGTATGAAAACTGCAATTTCAAAGTCAAGAACAGGCAGCTAATTATGCCCTTTCCTGTATATTACAAATCAACTACAGCACAACAAGGTCCAGAAACATCTCTCCTTTTCTTAGTTTAGCTTCCACAAAGTTTCACACCAATGCTATTCAAAGGCCTTTTATCCCACTGAACTAGGCAGAAGGCAAGAGAGCTCTCTTCCTTTTTTGAGATTTCCTACACCTGTGGAAATGTTCCCTCTCACTGCAATTACCAAAAAAGCATCGAGCATTACAATGAAAGCTTTGAAGTGGGGTAATTGCAAAGTTCAGTTTGCTCCAGCCTTGCTTAAAAACATTTTTGTTTTCTTTGGTTCATTTAACAATGACTTCTTCGAATGCATCAACTTTATTGTTCACAAAAGTGTGAATGTATTTTTTTTATATGCTTCTTAAGATATTTTATGGATTCCATTAATAACACAAAGTTTTGCATGACATAACACGAAGAATACAACATGCGTGCATGGCAGGAACACGTGTGTTCCTGAGGCTGTCAAGACAACCTCAGTGTTTGGAGTGCCTGGCCTGGATGCTTGTCTCCATTCACACTACGTTATCATACATTAACAACTCCAATTTTGACAGAAGAAAGGGAAAAAGTGAGTTAGGTGAGCATGGAAAGAATCAGCATGAAAAGACCACAAGCTCTGCTGACTTTACAAGCTCTGACGCTAGCTGCTGTGCACAGACATACAGCTCTCACCGGCCAAAGGAAAATTCCTGTCGGCACTTGATGAACAATCTTTACCCAGTCCTATCTTCATCAAACCCTTCCTGCTTTCCTTTCCTCTCTCTCCCCCAGGCCTTTCCAACAAAAGGCATCTTTTGCAGCCAACCAACATGAGGCACAGGGATTGTCAGTGTTGAAAGCCCATCAATCATCAAAAGTTCATGAAAGGTGCAAGACTGTAACCTCAACACAGACAAATAAGACTACGGCTTTGCAGAATTAATGTTGTTGACATTATCCTATCTAAAAAAAAAGTTAATGAGTCTTAGCTATGTGCCTTTTAAGATGCCCTTAGAAATAATCATTAGTAATTCCTTTAAGTGGAGAACACCCAAAGAAATGAAGACTGGTCATTTGCACTGAGAGCAATACTGACACAGAATATTCCTGCAAAGTTCCTCTGTTATTCCGCACGAGGACAAAATTAGTAGGAAAAAATTAGATTTTCCCACCAAACAAGAATTAAGGGAGACATAAGTCAGGGGACTGCACATAAAGTAAAGACACCATACTGCTAACGGTATGGGCAGCAATCTTTTTAAACTATTTGTTATTTGCTTTTGATTCTTTGATGCTAATGCACAAGAGATTTGATTCAAATATAATTGTCTATAAATAAAGAAAAAAAAAAACTGCTCAAAAGTTTCAAAGGAAAAATTTTTTATGAAGTTGGTAAAAGACATTCCAAGAGAGTAACAGTGATTATATTTGCATAAACATTTGAATCTAAAATATAACCTCAGGGAAACTGCTTAGTACAACAGAAGGGCAGTACTAGGTAGCTCAAGGTCTAAGTAAGTACCCTGTCCAGCACTAAAATCAATTCTGTCTTCTAATGTGGCCTTTCCTTAAAATAAAGCATTATTATGAAATAATAGCTATTATAATGAAACTCCTTTTCTCAGCTGGATGTTAGAAAGCCATCAGGCACCTTTAAAGGCAAAATAAATAATAAATTTACTCAGCCATACAAAAAGATGACAGTAATTTCAATGCAATAAAAATGCTAGGTGAAATAATTTTTAGTCAACAAGATTCCCCTACAAAATTTTCTATTCATTTACTCATCTAGTTAAAAACCAGGTAGTAAAATTAAGCCAAAGAAATCAAGCTTGTATAAAGTGCTAATGTTAAATAAAAGATTAAATAAAAAGAACCTGATTTCTAACATTTTAAAGATTATTTAAAATGCTATTAACAAGGAAGAATTATTTTATTCATAGGGCTGGAGACAATTTTGTAAGAATAATATAATTTTTAGATAAAGCCATCACATAACTGTATTAAAATAATCATTAGCAACCAAGTTTCCTGTTATGTTCTATCGACTTTTCATCTGGAATTGTTAATATATTATTAGAATTACCCCTTAAATTCTCTATCAGAAGTCTTGCTCAGGACTTTTTATTTTCTTTTTATCCCTCCCCCAATTTAAGAATTTTATCCGATTGATTTTTTCAAATGTCAGCATGTAAACCTCACACAGGAATAAAACAAAAAAGATGTACCAAAATCAGATTGTTTATTTAGGCATGATCATTTCTTACAGATTCACATTTTTCTTCCTCTGTGTCTGAGATGAAGGTGTGGTTTTCTTTAAAAAGCTTTTCCTCAACATTTTTCCTTGTGCGGGGACTAAGCTTGGCAGCCTTAGATCAGGTCAAGGCAGATTGTGAATTTTACCTAAGAAATGGTCAGAGGCAACCATTAATAAGGCCATGTCTGAACCCACGAGGTTTTGTGTGGAAAGGTAGTAAAACTACACACATACAGGGAATTCTAAAGAAAATGTCACTTAACGTGGCACGTGATTCACTAAAAACTGCATTTTGCTAACAAGTATTATTTTGGGTTTTTTCAAGCTCAAGTATACTAAAAATTCAAGATAATAAGATGCAATTGACTATGTTAAGTCAGAATGGACAACAGTAAAAAAGTGCAATGGGGTTTCGCAGATCAAGTATTTGCTCCCTGTACATGAAAATGACAGTCAATCCTCTGAATCCAAACCCTCCTGCAAAACTCCACATTATTTATCTATACTTCTAGGTATATGTTAAGATAATAAAGGTAAAATATTTTCTTAGATGAAAATGTCAATTTAATGTTAGCTACAAAACACCACATTGACAGTTTTGTAAAAAGAGAAGTGACCAATGCAGATGAGTTTCTTTCAATCTGACAAATCATAAAATAAATTTTTAGTAAAAATTTTTTTTTACTTTTAAAAGCCTCTGTTGCTCCAGGTGCATGGTTTTTATCTGGGTGGAATTTCAAAGCAAGTTTTCTATAAGCCTTCTTTAGGTCTTCTTCACCTGCATCCTTTGACACCCCAAGGACTTCGTAATAATTTTTACATTTCTTTATACTGCAAAAGAAAAGGAAGTAAAATGTTGTAAACAAAAAGATGTAAAAGTAGTATGTTAGAACACAGCTGCAAATAAGATAACACATTGCACTGGCGTGATACATTACATCTCTCACTTTCAACATGAAATATATTAAAAAAAAAGCCACTCCAGCAACCAAGAATGCCATTTTTCATAATAAACTCGCTATTGAGTACAATAAATTCTTGTACTCAAAATTACTTACTATAAACATTTATTTTCATTTTCCTACTGTAGAATTACTACAGTTGAAAGAAAAAGTTGCAGTCTGAAGTTAGTGCAGCATTTCCTCATCCCCAATGATATGACTCTTGCCATTAATAACTCATCAAATGAAGACCCCACATGTATTCGCAGAGATAGCAGGCAGGAAGGCCTGGTTTTGACGTCAACAGCAAATGCACTTTGATATGCGTGACAGAAAACAAACAATACCTCCCTTTCTCCAAACAAATGTCAAGTCCCACCACCACTCATGCACTCACTTTCCAGGGAAATAAAGCATGTGAGAATACCTCTGCTGCTGGGAACGCACGTGCATCTTAACAAACTTTCTCTAAATGTTTAGATAAATTCAAAGAAATAATAACAGCTCCAGCAGTTACAGATTTGTCTCATCTCATATGTTCAATGTAGCATTTTTTAAAATTCTGAAATATTCTTTCTGTAGGGCATCTCAGCCAGACAGGAAAAGCAAAAGCTAGAAATGATGTAATGATTCGGTATGCTTCACAACACCCAGAAGAGAGAAAGAGCAGTTACAGGGGACAGACACAACACCAGTTCTATGTGGGCAGGAAGAACTGACCAAACCAATAAATACATCTTAAAAACAAACCAAGTTACTTGTGTAAGAACTCAGAAACTTATAAAAACAAGGCCAAATCACAAACTTGCATTGCAGAAACGAAGCACGCTGACATTTGGTGCATACCAAAAGAAAAGGGCTGGTCTGAGCGAAAAACAGAAATTACATCCATAAATATTTTAAAAGCTTCGTGTGAGTCTCTTCACGTGGCTGTAACTGTGTCCACATTCTCTTAAATGCAGAGATTTCTATGTAAATATGGGTTAAGTGTTATGAAGACTATACACAGGGCAGCCAAGTGGAAAAAAAGGGGGTCAGCAAGTTTTTGGCATTTTCAGGAAAGAAGAATGGGTACTCTGTAATTAAGAGAACAACCACGCCATCCTGTGTGGTCCTTCATAGTACACAGATGGATCAAATCAAGTTTCATTTGAGGGATCCCCCTTTTCCTGTGTTCAAATAACATGAGCTTTTAGGGAAGTCTGGGTGTAACACTTCCAAGAGCACTGAATTGAATGTATGCAGGCAGCTGCCAACACGAACATCCTGCGAAATAAATATAGCTCATTATATTGAAGGAACGTTTAATAAGTTCCAGTTAGGAAGCTGATAAAGCTAGCTAAAAAGAATAAAGTGAATCCACCATAAAGAAACAATGGAAAGAAAGTACATTAAATTATACTCCAAGTACTGGAAACTTTTGTTTAATTTGTACAATAAGAAAAAATCCTTAGCCTTAAGACCTGGGTTACTTAGGAACTGTATCAAGAACAGATATATTTATTTAAAAGTGTAACAGTATCAAATTAAGCTTTTTTTCAAGAAATTGCTATTCCAGCAGCCAGTCTAAATTCTTCTCTTCAGTAATTCTGTATCTGAACTATCTGTTTGCGGACTAGACTTTTCAGAACTTGGGCTGATATAAAATTAAGTAGTAAGTCACCAGTGTTTAGCAAAGTTGTTATTTTATTAGCATTAAAACTGTGGTGTTAAGTGTTTGCTCAAGTCATTTTAAGCACTGTGCACCCTCCACAACTTTTTCCCCCAGCAGCATATGGTCATTTCTCATGGAAGTAACAAACACACAAAAAAACCCCAAACATGAAAGTTTACTTCTCTGCAGACCTGATATGCGTTTATTTCACAGCTCTAGGATGCAGAGAGGAGGAAAACAGGAAAAAAAAAAAAAAGAGCAAGCCAAGAAACGCCAAGCTGTTCTTCTAACCCTCAAAAACTTGCCTCAGAGTTTCCTCCCATTCACAGCCAGTGGAACTCCCCCCTTGGCAACCCTCGTGGGAAAAGCAGGAAGCTGTCAATCAGAAGACGTTCAGGTCAGCATATGACCCACTGGCTTCCAACACCATGATCTGCTCAGAGCCAGGGCATCAAACCAGAGCTGCTTCCTGAGAAACTGCAGGGAGAAACCTGCCTTGCGGGTCATACAGCCCGTGCCATCCAAAGGGATGTGATCACCCTCCGTGCAACAGCGATGCTGAGCCTGGCCCACAAATGAGCTGTTGTTATTTATCAAGAAACAAGCATTCAGCCGAGGTATAACACATTTCTATTTTCTCTTAGCAAGTCTTTGCTAGCAATCGCTTTGTTAAACAAAAAATTCTACAAATAGACAAGCATCTTGTTCAGCCTGGAGAAGAGAAGGCTCCGGGGAGACCTCATAGCAGCCTTCCAGTGCTGAAAGGGGGCTACAGGAGAGATGGGGGGGCTCTTGATCAGGGGGTATAGTGACAGGACAAGGGGAAACGGCTTTAAGCTGAAAGAGGGGAGATTTAGACGAGATCTGAGGAAGAAATGTTTTCCTGTGAGGGTGGTGAGGCAGTGGCCCAGGTTGCCCAGGGAAGCTGTGGATGCCCCATCCCTGGAGGGGTTCAAGGCCAGGCTGGATGAGGCTTTGGGCAACCTGGGCTAGTGGGAGGTGGAACTTTGAGCAACCATTGAAAGGGGTGGAACTGGATCATCTCGAAGGTCCCTTCCAACCCAAACCATTCTGTGATTCTATGATCTCTATTCCAACATTCCTGATTTTGTATGAAGCTATGATTTAATAGTTCAAGCACATCTTATATCAAATGACCCTCATACCCTTACCTGTTCCCCTAGGCTAAACAGCCAGTCTCAAACCAAGAAGCCTTTGTGAATTTGTGACAGCCACCCCTGACTTTCATTCTCCCTTGCATGTTCTCGTCAGGATGGGCACGCTCACAGCAACACACCTGTACCTGATCCTCCAGGTCATTTACATCACCTTCCTTTCCACTGCAGAGGATCAACGCTGACATATATAACCCCTGTTGACTGTTTAGCCTGCTGTCATATTCAGATCTCAGCCAAGTCCATGCTGGCTCTTACAAAACTCAGCAGCAAACATAAGCTGCAAGTACTCTACTGGGTAGCCCAAGAAGCACTGCTGCACGTGACTCCATCGTGAATCACGTGGAATACGCACATACATACTGCAATTTTGCAGAGTTTAGCAGGAATTTGGATTAGGCAGATCAAGCTTTAAAGCTAAAATATGTTAAATGACTGTACAAATGCACAGGGGCCAAAAGCCATACCTAAACCTGGAATTCTCAGCAATGAACTTGTGCTGTGAAGCCCTTGCTACACCCTGCCAGCAGACAACAGTTTGGTACCATTGCTTTGCCACTTCAAGGCAAAAAGCATCTGAACTGTAAGTAGCTAGAATCTAGTTAATGCAAAGTTTCCAACAGGGAGGGCGATGGTGACTTCTGCCAGGAGGTCCCCTACTGAGCACAACTCAGGGCAATCATTTCAGGGTTAGGGCTTGGGTTTTCCCCCCTCAGCAAAGTCCATGTGAGTTTTGCACCAAAACTTGTATGGCAGCAGCTCTGCACTGGGGATGACAGGACAAGCAAAGATGATATGAAAATTTTGTTTCTAATGAAACTAAATTATCAGTGTTTGTGGTGCACTCCTGAGACACAAAACTTTAAAGCATCACAAACTCACCCTGGTAATTCAGGACAAACTGTATGGGATCCTCAGGTCACACAAGTGCTGTGCAGTCACCAGGCTCCTCAAACACCGTTGGAGCCCACAGCCCGCCTCACCAAGGCCTGACACACCACATCGCTCCTCCACCTTAAAGAGATGGGGATCACAGGCTTTGCACAGAGACTGTCCAAGACTTAAGTCCTCTTCCCCCAATCTGCCACTGTCCCAGTGAGAAATTTCTGTCCAGCTGCTGGGAGCTGTTGGAAGCCATGGCCAAGCTCTGATCCTTGTCCTAAGCAGAAACAGGCCTTTTGGGACATACTCCTCACCCTTGTCTCTAGCAGACTGAAGTCTGACAATCCTCACTCTGCCAGAATCCTCCACCTGGAGCATGGAACTGTCCTGTAGAGACTTATCATGGGAGGGCAGATGGACAAAATGAACCATCCCCTTCCCACTGGTCTTCTGTTTCAGTCCACACATCATCAGCCAGCAGAGGCTGGGAAAAAAAAAAATTAAGAGAAAATGCAGTGGAGGATGCGGAAGACCACCAATCATTGATGTTACTTATGGCTTTCAACAGCATCTGAAACCCCTATGCTGCAGCACTCTCTACTAACCTTCTGAAACTTCTAACTTTCCGAAAGCTGCATTTCAAATTGTTTTGCTGTACTTAGGGCATTGTAGTCCTTTAGTGCTAATTTTCTTGCATATGTAAACTCCATACAGATGGTTCTTTTTAAAATTGCAATTTACATATCACTTGCTTACGGATTGCCCCTTTTGTATTGAATTAGGGTTTTTTGTTGTTTATTTCTGGTTTATTTAAAGTTCAGTGCTTTCACTGTTAAGTTTTTCAGGGGGTTGGTTTTTTGTGAATTGCTCTTCTTGTATTTTTCATTCCTGGTTGGATCACTTCTGTATCTGAATTACTATCAAATTATTTCTGTTGTTTAGCTAATTTCTGTCTGCTGAATTGCTAATCCCCTGCCAGCACCTTGGCACTGTCCTTCTGGTTAACAGATTTGCTGGCTGTTTTAGGACGGCACATTGCTGGATGCTCCTGAAATAATATCCAACTAGAGAATAGACTTCTCAAACAGCATGAGGGCAAGTGATGGCCTACATTCACCCACAATCTGTCGACAGAGGTTCTCATCATGACTTGCAAAGCTCCACTGTCCCAGCTTGTGG